TTGGTTTTTTTTTGTGGTTTTTTTTTTTTTTGTTTGTTTGTTTTGGTTTGGTTTTTTTAGAATCTGGTGATTTTAGTCTCCTGTTTGTCAGGAGGGAAATATTTTAAATAGAAAATAGAGCTGTTGATGCCATCCTCAAGTGCATTAAATTATCTAAAGTTCCCAGGCTGTACTGAGACTGAGCCTTTAATAAAGGAAAATACACACAGATCTATAAGCAACAAGGAAAGACTGAGGCATTGATTTTAATGCTCTTATGATGAATTTGGGAATAGTCTTCTGACCCACACAAGTAATTTTCCCAAGATGTAAGCAAATGCTTTAAAAAGAAGGGTAGTTTTAGGATTCAAGTGTCAGGAAAGGACTATTCAAGTCTTCATGGGCTGGCTTCCTGTCTTCAACTGCAGTTCTCGCCACAACTTGACAAACTGAAGCATGTCTGCTTGCAGTAAGCAGCAGGCAGACTTTTTGTAGAGGGTTGGGTGTTGGGTTTTTTGTTACACAGAATTACTACTTGTTACGCATCCTTCCCACTTCTGAGTCTTGGTAACTCTTACTGTCTTATGGACTTTATGTTGCAAAACCACAGGAACAAGCCCATGGGGCCTTTTGTCACAATGGGCTCATAGTGTGTTGTGCTTCATGTTGCTGTCTGTTGACTTTGTCCTGCTCTGGCAAAAGAAGTTGTGTAAGAGCGAAGAACGTAAATCTCTTTCCAACTTAGTGTTTAAAATAAGCTAGAATTGAGTTCACCAGTACAATAGTAAAGTTGTGTGCATGCAGCCTCTGTTATGTCTTTGGAGACAAAGACTTTCCTCTCGTGCATGCTTGCTGGAGGTGGGGGAATGTACTAAATCAGAAATTCCTTGTCTATGGTATGTGCGAGCATGGTGTTGCAAAAGCCGACATCTTCATGGCTTGAATGTGCTGTCTCTCGCAGTCCAGAGTACCAGAAAGCTGTTGTCATAGGTGTAATCACAATTGCATATGTGAAGTGTTGAAGCGTGATCTTTTAATGGCCAGCGTACTAGTAAGAGTTGAGATTCAAATTTATTACAGGCATGCTTTGGTTGATTTGGTTTTGTTGGGTTTTTTGTTTTTTAAGTGATAATCTTCTATTAAGTCGTTCTGGAAAGACTGTGTATGACTTTGCTATGAAAAGTATTAGAAGCACTTGTACAAGCTGTTCCAGGTTTTGGCTGAAAAATGCTCTAAGATGCCACTGCATCTGCCTACTTGACTACAATGCTATGGTTTGTTTCACAGCAGTTAGGCTCTTACTATCAAATTAAAAGCTCTGACAATTATGGCTGAGTAGTTGTGAGATTTGAGGGGCCAGGAGTGGTGTTCTGGTTTTGTTTAAAAAGCTCTTTGTACCAGATTCTGATGAAGGCACTGTAATGAACTGCCCATCAAGTTGTAGTTAGTGCAGATTGGTATGTTTCAGAAACAGATGGGAATTTTGCACAATAGCAGCAATGTCGTCAGAGAGCCTGAGGCCTTAACTACATGCCTTGTAGCCATAATACACCTGTGCTGTGTGGACTTCAATTGTCAGGGTGTTGTGTGTATTGCAGTGGTGTGGATCATCTGACAGACTTAGTCATTGCACATCAGCTTATTGGTCTGCTCTCGGACCAGCTGTTAGCACTTCAGTGGCCTATACGGGGATCACCTCCATACTGATAAACACTGGCATATGAACTGGTAAAGAAGAGAAGGTAGGCATGTATTGTGGTGCTGTTCAAACAGTCTTGTCTCTGTTTCTTCTGCTTTGGACAAACAGAACCCATCAATAGGACTTAAGATATTCCTCCGTGTGGGGAAAAAAGTAATACATCCTTCAGAGAAGCCTTCCAGTTAAATCTGTTAGAAAAGGGTGAAAGGCAGATAAACAGTATTCCCCATAAGCAGTTGTGTTAGCAGGTAACAAAGTGATAGATTGGTTATACCTGTTGTTACGCCTAACACTTTATCTCCTGTAGCTGAACTCTATGTCAGTAGTCTTACTGGTCTCATGTGTATGGCTTTCTGTAGCCACACCACCTCCATGCACATTGGTGCTTTCACAGCCACGCTCTAGGATAAATCAGTGTATTCAGAATCTTCAGGCTGACTTTAAAGGAGTGTTTCATATTTGCTTATGCCAGTAAAAGAAAATAGAACCTGAAATAAAAAGACTGGTACAGATGGGAAGAACTGAATATATAGTACCAGATAAATAACAGGGGAGAGATCTCCTAGCAGGTTTTATTGTTGCTCTTGATGAAGTATTTGGCATAAATAAAATTCTCCCAAAAATGTGGCCTACCACTCCTACGTATTGTGTGTATGGAATAGAGTCTTTCATCCAGATACTAGGAAGCTATTAGTGCAGTCTCAGAGTCAGAGCTTCTTTGCATGGGCTATATTCTGTGAATTGCTGTTTAAAGGGATTCTCTTAGTTTAGTCTGTTAAATGTGATGTAGGTTTAAAATTTTTTTCAATACACGGTTTACGCGCTGTCCACTGCTGTTGCTCTGTTACCATCTCTCTGATTAGGAAGACTCTCAATTTTCCTTGAAGAGGAAAGTCTTTCCTCTTTGTCTGCTGGTTCAGTTAGGTGCCTGCAGATAAATTTTCCTCATCTGTGACCTAAGTGAAGTCTGGCAGTATGGTCGCTGCTGTAGGCGTGAGCAGAACTGTACTTTTTGATTGAACAGCCTTCTATAGGGATGATGAACAATTCAATTTTTAGAATCACTGAAACTGTTTTGGTCTGACTAGTAAATGGAGGGTACAGAAGGAGGACAGCTCCCTGTGTGCCACAAGGGTGGGTGCAGACTGGCACGCCTGACCTAACTGCAGTCCTACAGAGGAAATCTAATGAGGAGTCTTATTCTCTGTAACTGGTAACCTTCAGTTGTCACTGAAGTCAGAGCTTTTTGGCACTCATGAAAAATGTCATAGCTGTGAATCTTGAAGTTCTCTAATGGTGAGACCTGAGTGTGTAAGTAGCTACAGAGAGCTGAAGTGCTGACCCATATACCTCATGGCCTTCTGCTTTGTTCCAGCCATGCTGGGGCAGAGGTAGTTCTGAACCCTTCTCCTCACATGGTGGTATGCCCTCCAGAAGGGTGCCTTTGGCATGAGGCAGCTCGGCAGCCCATTTGGCTGGCTCCATAAAAATACTTCTGCCACCTTGTTTTGTGTTCCCTTTGTGCCAAAGGATTGTCTCTGCTGTCATTCGGATGAGAAGCAAGGACACACAGTATTTTTTGGTGTCTCCCTGCGTGGTAGTAAAATGAAGCTGTATACCAATCCCCACCATACTGGAAATACCTAATATTAAGGATAATTGAATAAATACCTTCTTTTAAGTTGAAACCAATGAAGTAAGTCCACTAACAGGTTTTATCTCAATGGAGCATAGACATAGCTGAATCTTGGCTGACTTTGCTTTGTGTCAGCTGGATTTCTTCGTTACCCTGTCTGCTAAGATGGAAACGAGAGAGCGCTGCTATAATGGGTCACTTCATTTTGAGGGGTTTCACACAAGTTTGAGTCTACCAAGCTAAATATTCACAATTTATATAAATGAATTAGCAGTTCTGTAACGGGGGAGGAGGGGACACAAACAACCCAAAGCCACCCAAACTTGTTTATCTGTTCTTTCTGTGAATTAGTCTTCCGTAGCTTTATGTCAGTTGGCCTGTTGAGCAAAGCAGGTACCATGGGTGCCTGTGTCACAGTACACTGGTTACAGCCTACTATATTCAGGCCGTGCCTATCCTACAAGTATGTTATGCAAGATCCTTGCTTAACCCAGAGGGTGCTGTCTAGAGTGAAGTACTGTAAAGCAGCCATCATTCTGTGGGTTGGAACTGAATTAGAATTGTCCATTTCTGTGGTGTCGTTGGAAATACGAGCTAAAACCAGTGAGACAAAACCAAAATATCAGTCATCTAATTTACAGGGGGAAAAAAAGACACACAAAATTCTTATTAAAATATCTTTTAATGAATTACGTGCTACATAGTCTTCGCGAAGTACATGTAACAGCTTCTGATTTCGAGTATTCAAGCACTTCTGTACTTTTTCTGGCTTTTAAATAACTGGCTTTTCTTTCAAAGTCTGACTTTAAGTACTCAATATCAAGAAATTTGACAAGCCTGTGCCTTAATTTGACTAAATGTGTTGGAGCTAGTGATTTCTTATTTTTTTTTCCTTTTTTCTTTTCATCATAATAAAACCCTTGCTAAATTATACAACTGCCTCAGCTGGAAACTTATGATGTTAATTTAATAAGCAGTTAGAATAATCTAGAAAAACTTGGTGTTAAGTGGCAGCCCACAGGGAGGATTTGGTGGAGTGACTCCAGAGAGCTGCCTTTGCTTTGGAAGATGTAGGGAACACCTGTTAAGGCAGCACAGAAAGTCACAGAGAGAATCCTTCTCAGTGCTAGAGAGCTGCCTGTCAGATTGTCAGCTGTCTGGAAATACAAGAATCCAGGTTCATCTTGCAGTTTCTTGCTGGCAGTGCCAGTACAGTATTCCAGTTAATGGGAACTAGGTTAATGAGGCTTATTTAGTGCCTGTGTATGTAAGATACTTGGGTCTCCGATTTGGCAGCTGATACTTCAAATCCTTGTATTATCTGTGGATGCAGACTTTCTTCCATTGTATACCTTCTGCCCAGACTTTTTGGATTACCTTATTTTTATTAAGGTGCGGTATAACAGCTTATAGAAAGTCATCCTTCAGTCATGCAAGAGTCATCTGCTACATTAGCACAGCCTTCTCCCCATCAAGTCACAGCATACAGCATTCCTTTTTGTACCTAGAACTGCAATCCAGAACACGTTCTCCGTAGCTGAATTCACTATGTAGGATGCAAAGAAAATAGACAAAAAGTAAAGCTGTCCTGACTTTGAAATAGATTGTAATATAATTGAATTGTTGGTTCAGCATGATGCAAAAGTATGTTTGATCAAAACAGTGTGTTCTTTGTTTCTCTTTTAGTCTCTGTTGGAAAAGTTCTTGATCCCTAATGCTTCGCAAGCAGAAAGCAAAGTTTTCTATTTGAAAATGAAAGGAGACTACTACCGTTACTTGGCTGAGGTTGCTGCTGGAGATGACAAGAAAGGTATTGTATGTCAGCTTGTGGCTGAATCTTACCAAATTAGATTGCTTTTGGTGGGGCAGTGACATGACTCTTATCTTAGAATTATTCTGATTTGGATGTAAATTTCTTTAGTAACAGGCTTTCTGTTTGCTAAAGAAAAATCATAGGTCGTTGCCTTTCAGATGAGTTCTGAAAGTTCCCATGTACCTGCCATATGAAGCAGTGAACAAATGTTCAGTCATGAAACCTTGAAATCAACTCTTAACTTACGCATGCATGCATGCATGTTTATGCATCTTCAGCCTGGCTGAGTGTTGGTTTTTACCTCTTTGTAGGGGGTCAGTCTTGTATCTTTTTAAAGCTTTGTTTGTGCCATTTCTCCTGCATCTCTACAAAATACAGAAAGTTTGCACAGGTTCAGGAATCAAAGAGACTAGAAACTACCTGGAGCAAAAAAAGGAGTGATAAAACTGATCTTATTTTTAGGAACATTTCTTCCATAACTGTGGTAATTTAACATCCAGATGGTTTTTATTTCCTCAAATTTCTTGTATCTTCATATAAACAGTTTGTAGTAATTGCAGGTAAGTTGTCTTCATCTAAATATAGTTAGAGACGTTAATACAAGGCATTTAATGTATCAGGTGGCTTAACTGATGTATGTGAAGAGACACCCTAACAACATGTTGGCTCCACACAGAGTCATCTTCAGTTCAGAATGGTACATAATGTTTAGATACAGCTTGTTGCAGACCGTGCAAATCTGTTTCCTGGAGTCAGTTTATGACTGGTGGCAGCATGTCCTTAAGATCAGCACACTTCAGCACAGAGCCCCATCTGGTAACTTCCGCTGGCTGTTTTCTTGCAGACTCCGGTTAGTCTGCGCTCAGTCTGCGGACATAGGGGATGCTTGGGATGTGCAAACAATCTGAGTGCATGGACTTGGGAACCTCAGGGATTACTGGAGAACTGCTCAGCTGTGTGGCTGATGCTTGGTGGAACTCTGCCCTCCTGTAATACTTGCCAGGTTCTTCGTGGTGCTGTTGAACATGTGGTGCCCCTGTGGCCTTGTGCAGCACAAGCTAATAAGCTCTCCCAGTGTGATGTAGAAAGACATCTGCATGACTTGACGGAAACAGAAGTGAAACAGACTTTAAAACGTGTCTACTCTAGCTTTGTGGTATATGTGTTATATCCACGTTACAGAAGGTAGCCCAGTTTCCCTGGCATGCTGGATAATAGGGAGTTGCATAAAGGTGCTAAGCCTTGGCATAGCAGAGCTTGATTTGACTTCTAGTGCTTCTTGAATGCAAACTGACTCAGTCTTGGTGACTGCAGAATTGCAGGTGTAACCAGTACTTTATATCTGTTCCTGTACAGAGAGTAATTGTATTTTCCCTTTAGTAATCTATTCACATGTATAGAAGGTACAATATTTTGAATCCCAGAGGTTTTTTTTCTGTTGAGGATTAAGTTGCAGGCTCTAAAATTAGACTGCGAAAATCTTTGTTTAAAGTGCTTTGGAAGTTCATTTTTAAACCAGTCTCTTGGCCAAGCAGCTTTTACTGGGTTTCCAGGTGAAGAAAATGTTTTTGAAAGCCCATCTAGCTGATAGTTACTGTGGCTCCTAAACTTGAGGAATTTTTTATTCTCTTCCTCCCCGCAAGTGTTTCATGTCACAGGCTTTTCCTGTATGCTGTCTGTGACCTTGAAGAGCAGTTGATAATTATTGTTTAGGAAATAATGGCCATTTTGTTGGATAGTATTCTTTCAGCCTTTTGCAGTAAATACAGCAACAGTATAAAGCTCCCAGCTCTAGGAATGAGAATTTTATCTTCATAAACCAGCTTGTTTATGTTGTCAACTGGTGTTTTCTTACAGCAGTCTAGAGGGCAGGAATGTCAAACAGGTACCTCAGCCAGCTGTTTTAGCCTTGGAACTGTAGAACATTTTCTAGAGAATTCAAGGTTAAAAATCTTGCCATTTTTGTATACTGGGTGACTGATTTAAAACTAACAGAATACATCAATTTTACACGAGTTCCCAAATCACTGCTCGAAAGATAACTGTATTTTCTCAAATAAGGAGATAAATATGATCTCTTTAAGTTATTTATTTTAAGGAAAAATTATTAAAAAATAAAATGTCACCTTCATTCCTTGAAGTTACTTGGTTTTCATGCTGCTTATTTTGCCTTTCAAACTGCCATTTTCTAAGGCTTTTCTGTTATGGGAAGAGTAAAATACTTCTTGCTATTTCAAAATTCAACTTACAATAAAGCTGGTGCCTCTCAACTGTAATGCACCAAGTTCTGGTCACTTCCGAGGTATTATGGCAGTTGTCTGATTTTTCTGAAGCAATCTTACTACTTGTGAAGAATGTAGAGAGAACAAAGAAAGAATAAATTGCGCAATGAGTTTCCTCCCTCTTCCATGTTGGAAGAGGACAATATAATACTTTAATTTTTATGAATACATGCAGGTGAACAAACAGATTGCATAGACATCCTGAATTGGTATTAGTTAGTCTCAGACTTGGAGTATTTGTGACTTAAATACTGATGTATGTTTGAGTCCTTGACGCCTAAAATCCTTTTCTTTTTTTTTTCTTTTTTTTTTTTTTTTTTTTTTTAAATACATGGATCTGTTGTTCTTTCAGAGATCATGCTGGATGCATTTCTAGTTTGATCCAAAAATGTTAGGATTGGAGCCCTTTTGCATCTGAATTGAATGACTTCCTGCCCACCTTCTTCTCAGATGCTATTAACAATCCTGGAGAGTGCAGGAACAATGGTCCCTTTGTATTCGGTGTCTAGCGCCTCTCTTGCCTCCTGCAGTCATCAAGGGCATAGTCCAGCTTGTGGGCTGTGCTGGGCCGTGATCTCTGACTTGTGCAGGCATAATGTGCTCCTAAGTTCAAGTGCATTCAGTGACAACAGAAACTGTTGAGCTCTTCAATCTTAGTATACACATTATAGTTGTGTGGTTTTCCACCAGGAGTTTAGAACTTGTACAAAAGAACCAGGTAAGAGAATGGCAAAAGATTAGTCTCTAAAAAGAGCCCAATTGTTATCTTTTTTTTTCCTTATTTCGAAGTTTATAGGTACTATAACTTTGAAGTCAGGTAAAAATGCTTTCTATATCTACGTTGGAAATGGAACTATGTTGAAAGCTTTTAAAAATATATGTCTAATTTGTGTTGAGTTACGCCAGACTGTCTTTGCCAAGCAGTTTGAATGGAAATTCATAGATGATTGTTTCTGAAAGTCTGTGATAGGCAAAGGTCAGCAGTGTGACTAAAATGCAGATTTGTAATGCTCTGCTGTGTTTAAAGACATTGAATTTTTGGTCCTGTATCAAGCCAGTGTGTAGTTAAAACTTTGATTTTGTACCTTTTATGTAGGTTTTACGTTCCTCGAGTGCTACAGAACTGCTGCAAACATTTGTAAATACAAGTAGTAACAGGGTGGCAGGGAGTGACTCAGACCTGTGATTTGATCAATGACAGCTTCCTTTTTTTATATATATATAT